GTCCCTGTAAAAATTCATGCCTTAATTCCCTGAGGGATATAATGAAAATATAAGACAAATACAAACAGTGCACCTTCTGAATGAAAATCGTGTTACCACTGGAGTCAACTTGCTCCATCAAATTCTATATACTAAATTACAGTATGTATCTGATATACAACATCTTTAACAATGAGCTACTCTGTTACAAGGGCCTAATTTGAAATGCAGCACTCAAAATAATGTTGATGAATATGTTCAAACCATAAGGAACTAGACCCTTCATTTAATTAACAGAATATAGAAAAAGTGTCATTATCATTACAAATATCTTTATTTTTAATGTTGTCATTACTACTGGTTTTTGTTTGTGTCGTTGCTGTAATGACGATGACAACAACAATCACATTACTACTGCAATTGTTGAGGTGAAGAGATGTGCTGTACTGCTCCAGCAGAGTGTCCAGTGAGGGAAGTGTGCATGCAAGCCTTCCACTACCTAGACTAAACAGTCCCATTTCATCTGTGTGACTTTCATTTTCACTGTAGTTCTTCGCATGTAAGTCAGTCTGAATGCAGTACATACACAGCTTCCGGCAAGTCCACGTATACTGTGATAACTGCATGAAAGTTAGTACAAACTACAATACTCTCACCAGGCCTCTGTTAGAAGAGGTGTTATCTCCTGTGGTGGAACCTTTTCTACCTGCTACTTACTTACTTACTCATGGAGCTGAGCCCTTCTGGAGGAGCTGCCAATTCTGCAGCTACTCAAGAATTTCCCAGCACTTTATGGAACCCAAAAGTTCATTACTGTGTTCACAAGAGCCCTCCACTGGTCCATATTCTGAGCCAGATCTATCCAATCCATACCATCCTATCTTATCTCTCTAAGATCCATTCTAATATTGTCCACCCACCTATGCATTGGTCTTCCCTGTGGTCTCTTTCCTTCTGGCTTTCCCACCAATATCCTATACGCATATCTCGCCTCCCCCATTCATGCTACATGACCTGGCCACGTCATTCTCCTTCAATCGATCATTCTAATTATACTTGGAGAAGAGTACAAGTTATGAAGCTCCTCATTATGCAGTTTTCTCCAACCTCCTGTCATTTCATCTCTCTTTGGTTCAAATATTATCTTCAGTACCCTGTTCTCAAACACCGTCAGTATTCTACCTGCTACTAGCTATGATAATTCCCTCAGGAACAGACAAGCATTATCACATTCTCAACAAATTGTTTACAGTTAGAAAACAAATACAGTGAAGCCCCTACTCAATGTTCTGCGACTTAAGGTTTTTCTTCATGTAACATTTAATTTCAATGCTCCAAAGTCAATAAACTCAACATTAAAATACCTCCACATAAGATTTTCCTGGGTATAGTTTTCAAATTCCACTGTCCCTAAAGGAACCTTAAACAGGGGTTTCACTGTACAAACTGTTACTCTACCTGAAGAAAGCATTCACTGTTTTGTCATAACTACTCTACATTTCTTTCATGCAGTTACATACAATTCTATGTCTTCAATTTCAGTGAGTAAGGCCTGCTATGATCTGTGCTAGTTTTCTAAAGCATGTAATTCACAGGTGCAGTAAGAGGTGACAATACCATGCAGTATATATTATTTTCAACATACAGCTTGGCGACAGTGTTGGTAATATGAGTGTTAACAAATATGGCGTAGAGATGCACTGTTGCAAAACAAATTAAACTCCATAATTAACTTCACATTAAGACCACCACACAACATACATACATAACAATGAAGAAGTAAGTATCCCTATATGCTGAAGATGGGAAAGAAGACATGGTCAATGAACCACACAAACACCACAGCATGCATTCAGGATGTCTCTACTGTAATAAGGGAAAAGGGTCTTGTTTCTTCATGTGATGTTGAATAAAAACCTTACCCTTGAGGAGGAGAGCCCGGGTTGTGGTGACCCTGACCCGATGTTACCCCAAAGTTGCTTGCTATCACTGGCACCTGTACAGACAGGTCAACAACACAAGAGATGATCATCCCACCATTGTACAACACAAAGGGATATACAGTACTGGTTCCAAAGGAATGCAACATCTCACACTTCATGCACACTTTTGCAGTAACTACTCAGTAGTTTCCTATCCTATAACACTAGCCTCGTTTGACTGAAAGGACAATAATTATCAATATTAACCTCTACAAATAAATTATTTTTCTTAGCATTCTGGTGTTCTCGGACTATGATACCATGCAGTTTAATGGGAAGTTACCAACATTTCTACTCTGAAGGCAGAAGTAGCAGGTTTCTTTGAAATGTTTCTTAGACGCTCACAAAACCACATGGTGTCTTAATCCATATGACTACAATCTTACTTTTAATCACAGTGAAAACCTCAATCTCAAATAACTTTTTCTTATGTTTCATCCACTCTTTTTAACATTTTGCACACGAGAGAACATTTCAGAAAACCCTTGTATGCTTGAAGATATTTCATTTCTTTATGATAAAGCAAATTTCAAGGATCACTCTGTATATGGAGCAGCTCAGTCTCTGCATCACAAAAATACATCTACTAGATTAAAACAACCACATTTTAGATGTGTAAAATATGTCTGAAAAAACTGAACAATCTAGGGAATAAGCTTATGAGAACTGCACACAGGAATACATTTCCTTCCAGGAGCTGTTCAGTCATACCTCTTTTTATCTCAACTTAATTTGAACTAAACTTTCCATTCTTTCTTTCAATGATTCTTGTGTGTTGTTTTCTTTTTTTACATATATTTCCAGCATCAGTGCTTGCAGTTTATTTAAAAATATTGTCAGTAGCTCAGACAGAACAGTGTTGAAAAACTGGATGAAATGGGAAGCATTTTGAAGGGTCCAACTGTTGCCTAATTTAAGGCACATCCTGCCATTTGTACAGAAGAACTCAGGAAAACCACAAAACCCTGTCAGACCAGTGTCCTGGTTGATATTCGAACAGGGCACCTTCTAGCCAACTTGTTCCATTCTGTCTTCATGAAAGGACATTTATTATTAGTTTGTCATAATAAAATTTCATGTTTTACATACAAATTGCAACACAAAATTTCAAAGAGACCAAATAATTTTGCAATCCAATCATTCAGCTACATCATCAAAAGCAAGATCTCGAATTTTATGTGACGTTACAATCACTCTCTAGTTTTTTAATAAGAAATGGAAAATTAAACTCTGTTTTTTTGCCATGTCATCCCTTATATTCGGGTATATACCTCACCAGTTTGCGCTCAGACATACTCAGTTCATGCTTATGTCCCAAGTTTCCTTACATATAATAGCAAGTACAGATAAACTTTGATATATACATAGGAAGATGAAAAGGATTTTGAACTGAAAAGTATCATTTCCCAAATTTACACTGATCCAAATTCTTTTATATCATTTTGATGCGCTACTATGGCCCCAAGGTACTGGTACATACCTTCTGGGATATAGAGCTGAGTAGTCTGTTGAAAGTCAGCCAATGTTTCAGAAGTAACATGTCACCTCCATCTTTAACCAAGAAGCCAGCATAAAGCAGGCTGCAAGCAGACCTCCATACTGGTTTCTTGCTTGGCTTATTCTTTTATATTGAAGATGGACATGACATGTTCCTCCAAAATGTTGACCTTTACTGGACTGCATGGCATTACAGCCCAGAAGACAGAACTTTTTATAACCACTTTTATGATAACCTAAATCATATACAACTTTCAATTATTGTTCCATGGTATTTGTATCTTTACAATAATAAAGTAGCATATTTAGTAGAGAATGCAGATGACACTTTCCACATAAGTTTCATTCTGTCCTGGTTGTTGTGAACTCTTCTACGGTAAAGTGCAAATAAAGCAATCCATTATTTCAAACAATTCTGAACAGGATATGCAGAAACTATTTACACAGCAATGGTATGGTTCTTTAACTCCCCAAAGTTTCATGAACACAATAATACAATACTAAAAGATAAAACCTACTTTCTTACTATAAATGACTAGTTCTAAATTTCAAAAGCAATGTCATGGTGACCTAAATTATTGATACTGTAATAGCAGGACCCAAACTTTCAACATGTCTAATACCAAAACCTGCCACTGGGTATGATCCGAAGCCCAGTTCCAACCACTTTAAAATCTCGTTTCCCAAATTACCATCTTCCTTTACAGTATGGATGTAACCTATGAGCTTTAGTCACCAAAGTCCTGTATCTGATTCTTGTCCTCCTTAACTCAAATACAAGCCCAGCACAACACAACCTCCTTGAATGAATGACATGTACAACATATGAAGTTCTTTACCATGCAATACAGTAGACCCTCGACATAAAGCATGTTAACAGGAAACAGCTTCAGTACTTGTGTTATGAGTGCAACTGACATTTATCTATAGTTCTGTCTCCTGGGATATGATGCCATGTAGTCTAGTGAAAGTCAACTAATGTTTCGGAGGTTCTTCAGGTTCCAAGAATAAGCCAAGCAAGAACCCAGCATGAAGCAGGTAGCAAGCTTTTCATACCTGCTAGTGTGAGAACCTCATATCTGATATTTATCTAATTTGGAATCCCTGTTATTACATACACCATATTTATGCAGTGACTACATTAAGAATATGATCTTACGATACACTTCATATTATGCTTCACCAATGCTACTGGCACAATTCACTGTTAATTACTTACATCTATTTCTCCTTACAACAATATTCATGTTATGTGGTTAGTCAGAGCTGATGACTTCATTCCCCCCCCACAGACATACAGCTCAATATTGGCCAGATGCAGCAAATGAAGGTGTTCACTATCAGCCAGTTCAGTATCGGCCCGTTCGGTATCAGCCTGTTCTAACCACATCATCACTTCTTTAATCTCTTTAGCACTTTGCTCAGTTTTGTTACTATTACTTCCCAAGAATCATCAATATTGTTTTCTCAGTCACTTCCTGTATTACTGGCTGAAGTTCAGTAGCTGTCTTCCCATCATTCATAGAAGCTTCAATATCTTCTTCAATAAACATGCTGCATGACCAGAGTTTCCACATCTAGTTCAGTCAAAGCTGCTGGGTCATCTGTTTCTAAATTATTACTGGGTGCATCACATGCAGACTTGTCATCTTTTCCAGCAGTCTGCAATATTAGCGGGTGTAACTTTCCTCACACAAGCTAACCCAGCTCTGTATCAACAACCTTTAGCACTAACGTCTTTAGAAATTCCATAATTTCCAATCGAGTGTTATACACCTCTACTAAGCAGCTCACCATGACAGTAACCTCTGATTGCTCGAATGATGTGTGCAGCGGTATTCTTTGGCAGAAACTTAGCTCTCATATTTCCATATTTCAATTTCAGAACATCAGCAAGAGTATGTTCTGGACTATGATTCAATAGTAACAATGCCTTTCCTTCCAGCTTCTGGAATGCAAATGGAATCTTACTAATGGTAAAGATCAACTTCAAACCAGGAGACAAAACCACTGCATGCCATTCTAGCACTGAAACCGGTTTTATAGATTACAGAGAGAGAAATTTCATGCTTGTGTGTTTGAAACTCTGGGGACTTTGACTTCTACCAATGCACAATGGTTCCAGCCTGTGAAATCTGGTCTTAAATGGAACACAGCGAGAAGGTCATGCTTTGTTAGTTTTCATACCCCCTTTGCTGGGTGCAATTTAAGATCGAACAATTTGTTTGGAAGCAGCCTGTTGTATATGCTGTTTCACCACAGCTGTACAACTGATCATCAGTGTACTCAACATCTTCAATCACTTCATGCAGAGTTTCAGGAAACTGTTCAGCTGCTGCACTGTCACAAGACACCTTGAGCGTTAATCTGGCACATTCCACGTCGAACCGTCCCCAAAGCCACCCTTCAGAAGCTTTAAATACATCACCTCAACAAAGCAGTCTAATAATAAAACTGCTTGAGCTTTAAGAATTACCCAATTTATAGGCAATCTTTCATTACCCTTTTCTAGGTGCCACACGTAGACATTTCTTCACATAACAGACTTCATGAAACCTAGTCTTCTTCCTTCACATGGAAGATACAAGCAAACATAATCTGCATTCTTCATTCATCGAACTGTGTCTTGTTACTTTTGGAATTCCACGCTCGCAGAATAAACTAGCTTTTGATTTGCCATTCATAACTGATAAAATATCAGGTCCAGTGATTGAGACTAGCTCTTTCTAAGGGGCCCAACTGAGTAGGTTTATCGTTCCCTATCCACCTGAAGACAGAGACAGATCCAGTCTTTTGTCCTTTTGTCTTTTACGTACCAGACGATGGGTGAAGTCCAAAATAAGCCAAAAGAAGTACATTAAAACTGACAGGGTTAAGTGGGACATACATTATTTGTTTAACACAGCCACAAACACATGGCAATAAAGAGAATACTACCCTAACTTGGCACACTTTAACAATGGAACAGAAACAGTTCCTTTAAGCAGCATGGTAACCCTAAATATAAATTGTGAAAATGAACACAGCTTATGTACATTTGCCTTCCTGATGACCAGTCTTGTGCCATTAACACAGGTACACACATTCATTCAGAATCAGTACTGCACAATGCACAGAGCTAATCAGGTTAGTGTACACATCACACCTTGTCCCCAACACCAAACACAGCAATCTATACAGGACTGAAGCCAATCATGTAAAATTTGTATGATTTCAAGTACTCACTGTGATATCAAGATTAAGTATGGTCTTCTGAGATATGACACCATGAAGTTTGGTATATGGGTTGTAAGGCTTCAGAGGAATCAGCTGCTTCAATCATCAGGGAAGAAAATGGAAGCACAACGTTCCTCGAAAATGCTGGTTCATATCCACCAAACTCCATGCTGTCACATGTCAGATAACCATATTCTTCATGCACAACTTGTATCTTTTCAACATTAATATTTACATTTTTATGCCCCCTCCCATACATGCATGCACACCTGTCTCATAGGCAACCTCAATCAACATTCTACTACCTAGCCACATAGGAGGTGTGTTCAAGAAGTTCCCAAAATTTGTCCATACATAATATCTTTCTCTTCATAGAGCTTACTGAACATTATCTCCTTCAAGCTAGTCCCCCTGCACAGAAATGCACCTCACCCACCCCCTTTTCCACTTTTGGAAGTACTGTTTGAAGGATGCTTGTGGTATCGCCTTCAAGTCATTCATCGCGTTAGTGATGATGTCTTCCACTGTCTGAATTCTTCTTCCTTTAAGGATAATATTGTAACGTGTCTCGTTACTGAAGACGCCGTTCGGATTGTTAATTGGTTTATTCAACAACCTACAAGTAACGGCTACAATTAATTATGACAATGTTGCAGGGTTTCACAATTTATAACCCTATTCGCAAATCAAATCACTCTATTGTCAGTATACACGTTTTTATCACGAGGGAGGTATACAAGTGCAACTGTATCACACGCTCCCAATTGTTACTCGGTTATCAGGAACTATCACTGATTCTCGCACACACGTCCGTAACTCGTAACTTGCGAACTGAGAACTCACTCGTGAACTCGTAATTCAAGAACTAACTGTGAATAGTCTTCACTGCTCCATATCTAGCCTTGTTCCGGACAACACAGAAAACAGCCACGTAATAGGCACTGCTGTTATTACCGTCGTCTCTCGCAACCACTGTTTACCCGCTTTGCCTAGCAACCGCTGTTTACTCGCATTGCGTAACAACCAGTGTGCTGGGACTCTGCTCGCTTCGGCACATCAATGGCTGGCGGAGGGGGGGGGGCGTCATCCATATCGTAACGCGTCACACTGCTCCCTTCTTAAGGCTGTTTAGGGAATAGACAAAACTCAGGAGGGGAGAGGTCAGATGAAAACAGAGGTTGTGGGGGTAGAGGTAAGAAGTCAATTTTTTTTTTGCCAAGAATTGTTTAACTGACAATGCTGTGTGAGCAGGCACATTATCGTGATGAAGCAGCCAGCTTCCTGCATTCCGCAGACATCTCAGAACCGCCAGATAAACTTATTGTCTGACCTTACTTCAGGAGCGAATTCATAATGCACAATGTCTTGATGGGGGGGGAGCACTGTGTTCATTCACAAGTGCATCTGTCATGCTTTCTTGAGCCAAGGCAAAGCAAAACTCCAGTATGAAGGCGCTGTTTGGGTTCAACTTCACAATTTAAACCCATGTCTCCTCAATGGTAATGACATTCGGTGGAGACTTTCAGAGATGGAAAATCATTACAGTTTCTGATAATCAGTCAAGTCTCTTCACATAAATTTTGCTGAGACCCAAGGCATTCCAAAATCTTCCATTCAAATTATGTGGCATGAACCAATGGATATCCCAAACTTTTACATAATTTCTTGGAAAGTCAGTCGAAGATTTGCACGGATGTTTTCCACATGGACAATCAGAGATTTGGATCTTGAAGCTGAAGCTCTGCCAGATTGTCTATCATCATCCATTTAAGTTCTTCCATTTTTAAAACATCTGAATCATTTGTAGGTCACTGTCTGCCTCAAGGCATCACGGCCATAACCTTCATGCAAAAAGTTAGGCATTTCTGCATCTATTTTCCCTACTGTGAAACAAATTTAACACAAATCCTTTGCTCCTTTACTGACTCCATACTGAACACTATGAAAGAACAACACACTCAGTCACAATGGTTATAAAAACTAAACAGAATGTCTGATCTACTTGCAAAAAAAGGCTTGTGTTAATAGGTCATAAGGTCACTCAAGCTCCATGTCGTAATTTCGGGAACTTTTTGAACACACCTCATATGTTTGCACATTTAATTCTGGACACAGGACTGCACCCCTCTTACACGAGACGTTAATTATACCAGACTCAATTTTCTGGTATAATTATCACCACATTGGAAATCACACATTCATACTTGATTAGAAATAAAAGAGATAAAGGTAAAAGACTGGAACTAAGGTCCACTATGAGCCTTGGCCTTCTTGTGAAGATACAACCCGTTTTCCTTCATCTACGACAGCAGCCCCAGCTGCTTTACTCCCCAGGAATGGGTGGCAGTACCCACTGGACAGGAGGCTGGGTGTGCCCAGAACTGGTCTGGACATAGGAGCAAAGGGAAAATCTCTACTCCCTCCAGGAACTGAATCCCATTTCCCTGCTCATCCAGCCCAAGGCCTGGTCACTATACTGAGCTGTGTGGCTCCCAGTGAAAATAAAGAACACACAAGATTTGAGTATTTCAGAAAGCGCACGTCTATGACATAAAAGGCAATATCAACAGCAGCTACAGTGTCACGTAACATCTGCTGCAAAACAAGGGCAAAACAAGCCTAAGTATCTGAAACTGAATCCAAAAATGAAGAACACATTTGTCAATAGTAGTTACCACATTCCATACACGTCGAAATGTACAGCAGAAACCCTAAACTAAATTCTGTCTTATGCAAACAAAGGAAACTATCCAATACCTCACGGTTTCCCTTAAAAGGCAAAAAAGGTAAAGTTTTTCCTGTGCTTAACTAATTAAGCACTATGCCATGAAGGTGTATGGGGGACTGGATGTATAGATCCACATTTTCTTTGCCTCGGAACTAGCTGGAGGTGAATGGTCAGCTTCACACCCCTGCTGCTTTACCCCAAGGAAAATGCTCCCCGGTACCCATTGGATAAGAGGTTGCGTAGACCCCAGAGCCGGTCTGGACGACGTGGAGAAGTGAAAATTCTTGTCCCTACCAGGCATGATTTCTCTTTCATGGAAAAAAGTGTCTTTAATACAAACATATGTGTAGTGAGTAGTACAGACATTTCAGATGTGATTGTTTGACCCAATGGAGGATTCACCACCATTAGTACAACTGCTTTTCTGTGCTGACAGCATATCTTACAATGATAACTAACTAGTGTAAAATCTGTCAATGTAGCACACAGCTAAATGCAGATATCAGACATTCTGACAGACATGCTTGACATAGTCTCTCTCTCTCTCTGTTAATTTCTTCTAAAGTACATAGAAATGTACCTTTTATATTTCCTGTTTCCTTCTGCAGACCTAAAACATAATATCTAACAGTGTTATGAAATTTATTCTGCACTCGTGCCAAAATATATGGCACCCACAGAGGTCTGGGTGATGTGCTGCAGTGCGGTAGTTTCTGGTTGTAATGTGAGTTCCTATTCCCTATCTCCTCCGTAATTACATGAATATATAAGTGCTAAAACCTTCTCAAGCAATCAGCTGTGTTAGTGTTCAGTTAAAAACCAGTGTTTCAGAAATCTCCAACTCCATCAATCATCAGCTGATGCAATGAATGACCATATGTTACTGGTATATCAACGACATATAGTCAATTGTCATACCGACCCTGATAATGGTTGACTTTCAACGGAATACACGGCATTATTTCCCAGAAGACAGACCTCTTCATAACCATCACTGTGAGAACCTCAAATCCTATACAGCTTCTACATTCCTTGAGTCTCAGCTACTGACAAATCCCCATCAGAGTGTGTATTCTGTGTGCTGACAGCAGTCAAGTACTGGAGGAACTCTTGGGCACGTTTATGTACAAGACAAGTCAACATAACCTTTACATCACATCTGATACTTTCACAGTGAGTGCAATGAAACCTTCTTGGGCCATCAGTGACATAAACATGATATGATGTGATGAATCCTTGTAGATGTAGCTGGAAAGTTTCCAAAACATCAGAAATTTGCTCCACATTTTCATGGCTGATTGCCAGAAAAGATGTCATGACAACCTTAATGGCTGTTACATGCATTGTGTAAGCTTAGTTTGAGAAGACCGCCCTGAGGCAACAGCAGCAGAACACACACAAGACTGCTTCACACAAAGAGAGGAAGGCTAAGTAAGACATCCCTTAGTACTAACCAAGCATGCCAGATAGTGCCTTCAACATTCACTCAGCAGTGTAACCTCCTCCTCACAGTATCGGAAATGATCACCTTATTTTAATAACTTCATAACAAAACATGTGTCTTCAGTATATTTGGTCATTGTTTAAATTAATACAACAAAAATCACCCCATTCAGAAGAATTAAATTAAGGCATTCAATTGAATGAACCAGGGTAACACACAGGAACAGAATGTAAAGCAAAACCACTTCAAAACAACACACAAAGAAAAGTAAGTTGTGAGATCTGAGGTTCTCATGGTGGCAAATATTAAGATTACAATCTTCCGGGCTGTAATACCCTGCAGTATGGTCAATGGTTACCAGACTACACAGAGTCACATTCCAAAAGACTAGAAATTTTAATCTAATAATCTTCAAGTGTGACTGAAGCTATTCACTAAGTGTGATGTTCCTTCATGCTGTCTTACATTCCTATTACAATCAAAATAAACAGAGATGCTACACTTTACACAGAAATACCATAATAACTATGCACACTAACCTGTTTCTACACCTTCAATAATGATAAATTACCTACATTTCAAATCCACAAAAGTAGAATATAACCCAATGTAACATACAGACTGAGGTACAAGGAAGCAGACATAGTATGGAAAGTTTCACGTTACTGGCATAAAGATCATAGTCACATGATAATGAATTAACCACTATAAACTACATAGTGAAACCACTGACAGAGACTTCAAACTAAACAGGACGTTAAACAGCAGTATGCACACTTCAGGGCAGAGTCTGAGGTAAAACAAACCTGAAGTATGACTTAAAATGTTATGTGGACCAATGGTGGTCCAAAAATTGTACAATATAATATTCAGTAATATCAAACAATTGCTCTGATTCAACAGCCAGTCATTCACCTGGCATCATGAACAGANTCCGGGCTCCAACAACAGCACGTAACTCCTGCCGCACATACTCCGACGATATCGTATTGTTACCACCTGAAAGACAGCATATATACTCAAAGTAAACTGTAATGGCAAAGGGCCACCAATAAGTTATAACATGCACATATATGGTAGGTTCAAAACTTCTGGACCAGAAGTGAATACAGCAACACTGTCAGAGGCAGACTGCTCCTGTGTATGTCCCCTACACACAGCATAACTGTTATGACTGCAATGTGTGATAGGTCCCAGAAACCACTGTGTAGAAGATTCAGAACAGGAAAAATGGATCTTCTCAATTTGCACAACAACATCAGATTCTGGCAGTTACTGGAAAAATCAGGGATGGAAATGCTGAAAATGCTTCAGATAGACGATGCCAAACAAAGAATGGCCCAAAGATGCACGAGTTCAAAGACAGTTTGGAATTTGAAGACAATCTGCACAGTAGATGGCTTGCTGCAGCAGGAAATGAGTGCAACAGACATGTTCGGGAAGTTGTGCGTTCTGATCATGAGAGGACAGAAGCAATTACGCATGTCAGAATTTCAGTTTCCAGCTGCCACATCATATGAGGCACCTGAAGAAATGTCACATCTGCCAACATACAGTACCAAGAATGCTGGCATGGGAACAATGCAACACCATGTAAGGGACAGTAATCAGCTTATCGCTGCAGTAGAACACTGTGAGCTTTCTTTGAATGATCATCACAGACACAATATTGTCACCAGGAGCATTCTTCCTTGACTGACAGGACACCATGCACCATAACTTTGTTGCTTTGAGTGCTACAATCAAGGTGGACACATACAAGGAGCTGCCTGTCTATCCATAGAAGGCATTCTGCCTGAACTGTTCCAATCTATGACTGATCAAAGACTGGGTGCCACTGCATAGTAATGGCATGGCTGTCAGTGCTGGAGTAGCTTGCCAAGTAAAAAAAAATATTCTGAACGCCCCTGTGCCATTAGATTCAAGACACAGCTTCTGTTCCAGAGTGTTCTGAAGCTACCTCACATTTCCAGTCTACCAAATGCTACATTTCAAATTACACAGAAATAAAATCACTATTAATGATTGGAAGAAGACTTATTTCCTTAATTTTACAATTTACTTTCTTGTATTCAAGCATTACTGTCATTTAGTGCCTGATTTTTCTTTCTCAGTGGAAGACTGAAGAAGTAAACTGATGCACAGGAAGAATACTTGATGACAACTTACTATAAATTCACAATAAAGAAAAAACTTTATGTTGCTGAATCATAGATTTGGGGCCAAAATGTATGTATATTGCTTTACTCCAATACTGTACTTTTGAAAACAAGGAATTATAACAAATATTACATTTATACTCAACTAAAAAATTACACCAGCCATTACCATTAACAGTATTTTACCACATCAGATGTCATTCATACATGACAAATATCACATCTCTAATCCCAAAGCTACTAATTTATTTCACAATAATACAGTACAATATAAAATGTTATAGCAGTAAACTTTCCTGAAGGACTGAGCATGAACTGTACAACCATTTTACAAATTCACTCATTCTTGTGTAGCACATTTTGCCCTAATTGAGATCTCCTTACTACTACAGAATTGACAGCCAGGTTTTACCTTGGCAGCATGTGCTTGTTCAACAGACCCCGGCAAGCCTAATGTCACACTGTTCACAGTTTAAATCTAGCCACCAGCACTGCAGCAACAGATTTAAATCCAGACAATAATGAGAGAGAGTGAATGAGTGAGCGAGTATGTGTGTTAGCAGACGATTAGTGTCACTGCATATATCTCTATACAGGGTGATTCCCGAGGAGTTACCACCACTTGTGGAGCTCATTTCTGAAAACATTTTGGGCAAAAAATGTCATATAAACCTGGGTCCTATACTCAATATTAACAGAGTTACGTTCGTAATGTGAAGGTTTCTAAATTTTAATTTTAAATACAAAATGGCATTATTTTAATGCATTTATTGTCACAAAAAGAAATTAATTCTATGGACTTGATTCTCTGTAGTTCAATTTTGCAAAGTCTTACAGAGATTACAACACATTTTCAAAAATTCCATCCTCCACTTCGATACACTTGTCCGCACATTTGTGAACCAGGCACGTTGCTCTACGTAGGTGCACACTGTTATCTCTGATTTCCATAGCAGCATGCATGATGTGAGCAAGTAGTTCCTCACGCGTTTGTGCCTTCCTTTGGCAAACAATGTCCTTCATCCATTCCCAAAAGCAGTAATCTAATGGGGAAAGGTCTGGCGATCAGTTCACAGTAGTGTGTTTCCAATTACGAACTTAACTTTGTAAATACTGAGTAGAGGACTCAGGTTTATATGACTTTTTGCTCAAAATGTCTTCAGAAATGAGCTCCATAAGTGGCGGTAACTCCTCATGAATCGCCCTGTATATGATTCCCAACACTGTTCTTCTTTATACAATCACTGCCCTTCTTCCAGTCCTTTCCCTGCTACTGCATCATACCACACATCCCTTCCTATCCGTGTAACTGTTGGTGGTCTCCCTCTTCACCCTCCTTGGTTGTATCCACTCAAGCACTTGCTTGGACAGCCTACTGTCTGCCATTCGTTGGACACATCCAAGCATTTTTATATCATCCCAAGTATAATATTAAGCCATTTTATCATACTGTGACCCTGAAGACTGTATTGCTTTAACCTTTATCGGACGGGCCATTTAATTTCCGGTAGGGGCAGCTGGACGGAGTTTATTTAAATGCCCGCCTTCTAGGGCAATGAAATTGTAAGCATGTTTCTAAAAATGGTGTGATTTCTACATTTTTTATGATAAACGAACGAAATGAATGCTCATTTAATGTAGAAAGAATATAGAATCAGATATTCTAATTTACAGATTTTAATATCTGTAAAAAATTTTTACACTGATTCCCAAAATAAAAATTCCCGAAATTCGTACATTTTCTGCACCATGCGTTCTAGCAGTGTAATACATTTTCTGCACCATGCGTTTTAGCAGTGTAAGTCCTTGTGGCGACTTCACATTCAATGATGTCTCTTGTTGACGCTTATTTATTGTATGGGACATTTCGGTATGCATGACTGTATGCGTCTCAAATCACTCGCTGTTTAATGTTTTAGAAAGATAGGGAGTTAATTCTCGGAATATGGTGTTGCCAGATTGGTCATTCGTTCATTCATTGCAGTCAAACCATTGTGTTTGTAATGATTTTGAAACATCGCAATGTAAGTTTAGCCACCCATGACATCATGAAATAGATATTGGGTTCAGCCAAGTCGTGAATGAGATTTTTGTATGTGTGGGCTCGAGGTTAAGATTTATAGCTTCTTATCGTGGTCTAAGCACAGAGATTCACTGCTAGAGAGCCGTATACATGACGTCGTATGGAACATACTGAAATTGAGTAACAGCTGTTCAATGACACAGTTTCGGACTGCTATTAAACCGATTCTGAAAGGGGCGAGCAAAGTTGGGGTTCTGATTCCGCGGACAAAGGGTCATCACCTTCGTCGGCAACTTGGGGACCGCCAGACCAGTGTGGCTGGAGAGGTGTGAATAATTATTCGGGTGTAGCTGCAGGGATAAATATCACTGCAGCTCGACATCACTGGCCTGCTTCCTCTAAATCGCAACTGAGGTGTCGTGTCTGCTTTTCGGGTGGGAAGCGGTCTAGCGTTCGTACGAAGTGGGTGAGCTGCGACATCGGACTCTGCATTTCGGAATGTTTTCGGCAGTACCATACGAAGGCCACATTACCACAGATGAAGCAGGAGGGAAGGCTGTTTCCTCATGAAGATGGTGAACATATATCACGTAAGTAGAGCAAAAATTTAATTTTAATTTAATTTTAAAAAAATCTTTACACGCGTGCAATGCGTGAAATCATATGAGGTCGTTCGGCCACAAGACGTCGGTAGATTACAATAGATCACGCAGGAGGGAAGGCTGTCACCTTATAAAGGTTGTGACCAAAAATTATGTAAATAGAACAACAATTTATATTTTAAATTTAATTATAAAAAAAATCTTTACACGCGTGGAATGCGCGACATCATATGATGTCGTTCTTCAATTTGTCCTTACTTTTAACGTCATATGACGTTGCTAGATTATATTAGATCATGCAGGAAGGAAGCCTGTCTCCTTATAAAGGTGGTGACCAAAAATCATGTAAATAGAACAACAATTTATATTTTAATATAATATTAAAAAAAATCTTACACGCGTGCAATGCGCGAAATCATATGATGACGTTCGTCCGATAAAGGTTAATTATCTTGCTGATCATCCCCACAGATCCACTTACATTGTATGTAATTTTTATACTTATTTTCCTGTAATATGATGGTGAATTCCATTTAGTGAGGTATTTCATGTCTGCATTTAAACACACTTTAAAAATAATTATATAAATACAGTCCACTTCTTTAAAAATGCTTATACATCAAATGTACAAAATCCACCACTTCACACAGACACACTGCTGTACAACCATCATACTCAGTACTTCAGTTCTGTATGCAATTAGATGTCAACCAAGCCACTGATTAAAAATGGAAGGACTAAAAGATAGCTTTGGGACCAAGTTTACTCAAGATCCTTTCAACAGCCAACTGCATAGACCAGCTATACATCTAACAAAGGCAGACAATGTTAGACAACTTGAACAATGTTGAAAAACTTGTTCATTCCAGATCACCACCATAAAGAAAATGACAGAAAAAGAGCATACAAATGATTTGAAAAAAATATGTATTTCCAGTGTACTACAGTCATCAGTGACGTCAGATTATAACAACAAAATACAGCCTTTAAATAAATAAGTTTACAACATTGTTCACTATATTCTTAAAGCTTTGAGTAAACTTATGTAATGTACACATATAGAAATAAAAACAAGTTTCTTCACAAATGTACCTATTAGAATATGAAACAGATACATCACATTTACCCACATAAAACATTTAATTTTCCACATGGTCAAGACCTGGCTGTATGTCCACAGTCTATATCATTGTGAGGCTGATTATATACAAGACATACTGCTGAAGTGACAATCCATCCCATGTACCAACCATCACAAAGCACAAATATCAGTGTTACCAGGAAGCACATTCACTGTCTGACCTGTAGTGTATGTCAGTGTTGCTGCTGTGAAAGCCAAAGGAAGCCAAGTGAGTGCAACATGTGGGGTGTTCCTGTGTATAAGTGCTGCTAGGCTTTGTTCTCTTTCATGTGTACATGCTGACAGATGAAGAAGAAAGCATACCACGCTCTGATCTTTACATAAGTTCACAGTACATGAAATGGCAAAACTACTGAGAGGTAGCTACTGGTAATCACTTCTGAGGGCAGCAGTCAGGGATGTGTTACCTAACCTGTACATGTTGTATATTCTTACACAAAATGTAGAACCATATTTATAACCTCTGATTGTAGTAAATTTCATACGCTTGTTCTCACTGTTCTTAACTGCCATATTAAAAGTGATCTCCACCACCACCCCACACACACACACACAAAAAAACTGTCCTGCAAAATTTATTACAAAAGCAAACCTCATATTTCTCCTTTAAAGTCATAACTTTATACAACATTCTGAACTTCATTTTCAATGGTGGATAATACGTTCCTATCTCAGAAGACTGCGATGCTAGCAAAGCTGCAAAGAGGGGTATACGATGTGGTACCTGTACTAATGTTTCTCATCCAGTGCAAGAGAGCAAGATGCTACAAGTGCCAGAAGAACCAGTACAACACATGACGATGACGATGATGATGCTGTCATTGTTGTCATGGTCACTATTATTATTTAGTTGCTATTATCACTGTCATTGCAACAATCAGAGTATATTTCTGTTGCCCAGAACTCCTCTACGTTAACTCATCCAGACTTTATAAACAATTCAAAGAAAATCTGCAACCCTATACTACAGCAGATCTACTAGCATTTATGATAATATACTAACATACTGGTTAGGCTGAATCTTTCAACAATTCAATCTAGGCAACAATACCTTGATGCTCCATCTGTTATTAGTGTTTTTAAAAACAAACGTAGCCCCTCAGCCATTTTTATACTGTTTGTTTACATATACCTATTAGGTTAATCAGGGACCTTACTATTTTGCATATGCACCACTGTGAAAAGGTTAGTCCCCAGCCAGTGGTGTCATTGTGCCAAAGGCAGTCTGCAGATATATCAGTATTTTTAGCAAGGAGTTAATTTTGTTAACTAAGTCTATAAATAGCATGTGTAATAATGTATAATGTCTGTTTGTTCAGACTCTTTATCTTTGATTATATAATTTAGTCTCTAGTATGTTCCCTGCTTTGTTAGTATCTACTGACATCTTCTTTATTATGTACAGTGCGTACAATCAAGTGCGTGCCGCGGCTGCAATTTGCTGTGAGTCATACCACCGCAGAACGGATGCAGTCGAGGGGAAGAGTTGCAACTCCTCCCCGCGACTGCATCCGTTCTGCGGTCGTATGACTCACGGCAAATTGCAGTCGCGGCGCGCACTTGATTGTACGCACTGTACTTCTTTGAAGTCCTTGCCTGCAATCAGCTCCGTAGCTGCTGTCAAGTACTTTA